GTGCTCTGCTTTTATCTCCCAGACCTGGCTCCCCTCTTCCAAAACACCTACTCTCTCTCCTCTCCCCATCTACAGCCATCCAGCAGAAGTCCAACCTTCTCAGGAAGTCATCCCGGCCTGCCCGCCCCAGGATCCTGCCTTGTGCACTGGTCCAGAGGCCATGCCGGCCCATCTTTCCAGCTCAGCATGTAAGCTCTTTCAAGGCAGGAAGAGTGGATATCACATTTTTCCAAATATCCCCTTCCTGTGGAGCTCAGTATTTGTCTTCATTTCAGGACCAGTGCCATGCATAAACCACCTAATAGATCCTCTGCAAAGAGATAGAAATCAAACCTGAACAGTCTCGCATTTGCTCCTGCTTGCAAATCTTGCACACAGTCTATTGCTAGACAAGAGACTGAACCAGGTCCTTTGTTAAACCTGCTTCCAATCTACTACAGTGCATGCGTCTTGTCTCGTTTTGGATTTACAGAGAAGTAAGCAAATTCTGTCCTCTCTTCGCCCTGGAAGGAAAGCAACAATCAGATGGTTGAAGACTGTGGAGGACTGTGGTAGACACCCTCTTCCAAAATATATATGTATTTTGGATGGCAAGGAGGCAAGCAGGAAGAAGGAGAACATTACAACCCAAAGAAAACAGGGCTGCGTGCTAATGGCGGTGGCTTACAGGGAGCACTGCAGGATGCTAAGATATGGAGCATGACTAGACCACTCGAAGGTCAACCAGCCAACACCAGGAAATGGAGCAGATGCAGAGCAGAATTTGCCCAGCCTATGAGCAAGGGCCTGGAAAGAGAGAGGCCTGATAAAGGCAGCCCAGTCAAGAGAGAGAAGCATTATGTCAATATTTAGACTACCCCAGAGAGACAGATGAAACCTGGAAGGGGGGGAGATTTGTGGTCCAGAAAGAGCTTAGTACTCAGGGTCCGGCCTGAAAGGAGGGGAGAGAGTTGGTCCATGCTGGTGCCTCAAGCCACCCTAAATGAGGTCAAGCAATAACTCTGTGTGGTGAGCCTGTACCTCTTGGCCTCTGTCAGACTGTAATACAGTGTCTTCTGGTCTCATAACTAGCAAACTTGACTCTCCTTGCAGAAGATCCTTGGCTGACAGGACCTAGGATATTGCAATTTGGGGTTTCCCTGGAGCCGTTTCTTCCCGCAAGTATCTGGGGAGAGTGCATCTCTTGACACTGGTATTAATGCCGCAAATACTGTTCTGGCATGTTCCATGGGGGCACTAGTACCACAGAGGACTCTGGGCAGCACGTGCCGGGGCGTCCTCAGACAGGCTGGCTGCTGGCTGCAGAGGGGCCAGGCCTGAGAGCAAGCCACACAGGCTTTGGCAGCCCAGGCTGGCCACCCGGGGCAGAGTTCTGTAGGAATGAGCCCGTGATGAAACCACTATAAATCTCTGTTTAAAAATCCTTGTTAAGTTTTTTGTTTTGTTTTGTTTTGTTTAAATGTTGTTTAAACATCTTCGGTTCTGGAAGAGAGGAGAGCCCTGCGTTGCTCAGTTCTGAGGAACTTCTTGACTACAGCTGAGTGTGTCTGATGAAGTATGAGCATCTTGATAAAGAAAACATTAAACAGAAACTAAGTGTTTAATGTAAAAACCTGGCAGCTGTGAGTTCATTTTACTTAATATCTACCTGTCGAGAGACAGAGGTTTTCCCTTTGTTTTGGTTGGAAATTCCTGTCTTCTGATTGGAAAAACACTGTCAGTGAGGTTCATTTTTTTTTCCAGGATACAGATACATCTCCCTAAATGTTATGTGTCCTATTCGTGCGCCTCAGAGAAAATGCACAGCCATCTCAGGGAACACGGGAGCGCAATTAAGGGACAATTAATATCTGCTCTAACCTTTACCGGTCTAATGGGGAAAAACAAACCCATGGTTAAGAGAGAAAAAAGACAAACCATATACAGGCAGCTTGAAGGATAAAGTCAAAACCAGGGTGAAATCTTCTGATGCCAGCATGACCTTAAAGGTTCAAATCAGCCCATGCCAGGAACACTGTCCAGGACGCAGCAGCCGAATGAAGGAGAGGGTGAAGCCTGAGAATAAGAGAAGTGATGTTAGACAGCAGTGAGGACCTGCACTAGGAGGAGTGTAGGAAAGAGACTGGAAACATGTGAGGTTTTTAAGAGAACCGTATGTGCACCCACATATACAGAAATGCCTCCCAAAGGTTTTCGTGTCAAGGCAGACACTACTACTACATGGGGTTGGAGGGGCTGGTGCATGTGACAGCAACCAGCCCGGGAGCTGCAGCCACACGGGGCCCTGCCCCTCCTGACAGGTCCCTGTCACCTCTCTCGGGACACCATATGCCACAGGACACTAAGACACAGTGGGTTTTCACTCCTCTGCTTCTGACTTTCGTAGTGGATCCTTTTTAAGGAAATGAGTTCCAATATCTAGGTGCCTGAGGCCCCATCGCCATGCAATAGAGGATTCTCATTCACTGCAGGAAAAGTCTCTTGGGGAAAAGAAATGATCAGGAGGACCAAATCTAAAGACGTACCTGCCCCAGAATTATTCCAGTAACATCCCCACCACCGTCCCAGCCATCCAGCTGGTTGAACATTACAGTTTTACCAAGCGGAACGTAAGGCTGCCTCCACTTGGGGCTTTCTATTTCAGTCTGGGTTGTTGGGTTGGGGGCTCAGGCCATCACCACTTCGTGCCCAAATAAGTATCAGTTGTGACAAAGATGTTCACCGGGCACCAGCCTCCTCTTCCTCTGGCCTCCAGCTTGGCCTTAATTCCCTAAAGCTCTCTTGCAATGAATGTGGCCCCCTGGCTGGGTTCTCAGTGCTACAAAGTGAGGGCTGCTCATGTGCCCACATCTGCGACCAAATAATAATAATAGTAATAATAATAATAATAGTAGTAGTAGTAGTAGTAGTAGTAATGATAATAATAATCATTAAGAGATATGCCTCCTCTCTGCTCTCTTTCTTTGCAGCGTGGGCTACGCTGAGATGCCAAGATGGAATGATCCTGGTGCCTCCACCATGTGGAAGGGAGCTTCCCACCAACTAGGAACCACCACCCTGAACGGTCATGGGAGTGACAGATAAACGTCTACTGTGTTTGAACCACTGAACAATTTGGGGTCTGTTGCTTACAGCGGCTGGCGTTTCCCTAACCAATGCAACTCCCCTCGCTCATGGGTCTGGAGAGCCCCACTCTCTGAGCCGCTTGCAGTAATTTGTTGCTCCCTGGGCCTCTCACATTACAGCATGTCGTCCACTCCACGGTGTGTCCTAGTGATCAGACCGATGGCCGAGGGTGACTGCCGCACCACCCCTCAGTTACCTGGGCCAGAACAGGACTCCCTATCTCCTGGCTCCACCAACTGACAGCTTTATCCCAAGCCCATTCAAAGGAGTGGAATCTCCCATCTGCTTTATTGGCTGACACCATAAAACGTCCTGACCTCAAATGAATTTTATGTATTTCTACAAACATAACATTTCTTGCCATTGTTTAATTTGAGATGTCTTGGGGATTTATTAATAGTTTCATAAAGATATTTTCTGTTTTATCTGACTGAAGTATTTGCCTAGGATAAAAAATATTCTTTTTTCCATGCATTTTTTATTCTCTATTTGCTCTTGGCATGCAGGAGGCATTAACCCCACGCTTGACTCAAAGCCCAGGTAGGACTCATTCCCAGGAACACAGAGCAAGCAGGTCAGACCCCAGAAGAAAGGAAATGAACACAAAAAGATGATTGTTTTTCAAGGGATCATGGTAAAAACGAAAACCAGTTAGAAGCAAGCTGAAAAGAGAGAGCAGAATTGTCTAAGCCATCCCTACCCGAAGTGGACTGGCGTCACGGGGGAGCGCTTTAGAAACGCACAATCTCCGGCCTCACCACAGACCTCCTGACTCAGAATCTGCCTTTTAGCAAAACCCCCATGTGATCTGTGTGTAACATTCAAGTGTTGGAAGAACTGGTCCAAGAGTCACAAAGATCTGGTGGTATAATTCTGACCTTCAAATCATCTCCTGTCAGGCGTCTTTAATCTGAACAAGAAAAAAAAAAAATCAAGACCAACTCTCTACATAGCTTCACTGATTCCACGGAGGCTTAACACTCCTCTGGATGCACACAACTAATGTGCATTCCCATAGGTAACTTAGATTCTGCATCTGCATGTTGAAATTTTTTCCACTTAAAAATGCAAAATGACAATGCTGGAGGAATCACTGATGCTCCGTCTCTCTGAGCTCCATACGAACCTGAAGAAATGTGGATTTGAGCTGGGGGGGGGAGGACAGGAACTAACATTTGAGAGCAAAAGAAAGGAGGGAAGAGGGGCCCCCGGGTGGGTCAGCCGGTTAAGCATCTGCCTTCGGCTCAGGTCATGATCCTGGGAGTCCTGGGGTCAAGCCCTGCTTCCAGCTTCCAGCCCCCTGCTCAGTGGGACTCTGCTTCTCCCTCTCCCTCTCCTTGTGTGTGCTCTCTCTCAAATAAATAAAACTCTTTAAAAAAAATACACACACACTCACAACATAATACATTTTTAAATGGCTGTGTAGTATTCCATCCCGTAGATTTTTTTTTCCTATAATTTTTTAATCCGCATCTGAATGCTGGAGTCAATTGGTGTTTTTCTGTTCCAAAAAAATGCTCCATGGATCACACATGTAGATAAATTTCAGCCCACATCCTGGATTGCTCCTTTGAGATAAATCCTTAGAATTCTTTATACTGAAACTTTAAGGCCATGTGAAATCGACCATGTTTTGAGAAATGAAATAGTAATCATATTATTTTTTAGTAATTGCTCCATCACTATAGATAACCTGTAAAGTTTTATGAGATAATCACACACGAAGCTCCTAATCCTAACTGACCTGCTGCTACTTCCTCTTACTTGTACTTATGCAATATATTTTCATTTCTCTTAGTGCATTTTTGTTCGTTCTTTTTATTTTGTTTTTTTTTTAGCATAAATAAGGGTTTTATTGGTCAGTTTGGGTGAGTCACATACTGACATATCCCCAACTCACTGTTCCATACACCCAAGACCCTGAGGTGGCAGGAGAAGCTAAGCCCACTGACAGTGAGCGAAGGGTGGAAAGAATCTGAAGGCCTCTGAGGGTTAACAAGGCTACCGGGACTAGAACCAACGTCCTAGAAATAAATCCAGGATGGAATAGGCGTCATCCAGGGCTGGAGGTGTTGGTGATTCTGGATCATCTCTAGGACTGCCATCTGCTTCTTGATGGGTTACTGTGGTCTCTGTCCAGCCCTCACTATCCACCACAGTCCAGCGCTCCTCTACTGTCCCATCTGGCTTAGTGATCTTAGTCACTGTGACGCTCTTGAAATAGGATATGGGCTGGGGCTGCAGAACTGGGCCGAGGCCTTCCTGGGAAACCTGCGAATCAAGATCATTGTCTTCTCTGGCTCTAGAACGGGGGGTCACAGGCCACATATCATCAAACAGACCAAAAGCTCTCTGGGAACCCCAGTCTGGTGCTGGTTTGGAGGATTCACTTCTTGTATCACTCTCCAAGACCCCCCCCCCAAAGATCCTGGGCTGGTGACTATCTGGATACTTAAGCATTGAGTCCCGAAGTGTCTGTCCCTCCCCTCGTCTCTCACTAAGTGTCTCTGATTCAGGACCAGGACCTGGAAGTGCAGAAGGGCGGGAAGGCAAGGTCCAGGCCTCCATCTTGCTGAAGATGTTATTAAAATCACGAATCAGGTCATCAAAGCCGAAGTTATCATGGAAACGCATCCCTCCTGAAGTGAAGGTGAAGCCAAAGCCAAATTCCTCCAGGGCCTGGAGACCCTCAGACCTCGAGCTCCCATGGCTTCGCGGGGCTGCTTCTTTCTCCTCTTCCTCATTGTCCTAATCTTCATCTCGAGTCATCCCTCCAAAAAAAGGGATCTCTGTGGCTCAGAGGTCCAGAAAGGCCGAAAAAGCCCCGAAAGAGATCAAAGAAGCTCATCCCCGTTTTGGGACTCGAACCTGCAGACCCCACCGAGGCCCATTCGCACCTGGCTGCAGCTGCGCTCTGCCGCCGGAAGTTGAGCCATTCTTTTTATTTTGAAATATTCTTGGCTATTTTGTCAACCCCTAAAAATATATTAGATTTCCAAGAATTACCTTAAGCATAGCAATTAAGGTAGACCAGCAATATCATATCTTCTCATCCAGAAATATGATCTCTCTCAGAGGAGTGAAATCTTTCATGTCACTTAATAACATGTGGTCATATTTTTTGTGTATCCTGGACATTTCTTCCTTAAATTTAATTCTAGAATTTTTTTTTTTGCTATTGAGAATGAGATTATTTAAGGTTTATTGCTGACCTAAACAAAAGCTACTCATTTTTTGTACGATTATTTTGTAACTGGCCACTCTACTGGACCCTTTTCATAAATGAAACTACTTTCCATTATCGGCTTGGGTTTCCTGTAAATTACCAACAAAACAATGACAATTCTGACTCCTCCCAATATTTAAGCCTCTTTTCTTTCTTTCTTTCTTTCATTCTTATTTTGTCTTTTACTTTTTCACCATACTTATTTATTTTGGTTTAAAAAACAGGATTTACAGATGGGATAGAGTGTTGGTTAATGATATGCTTGTTTTTCAAGTTTTCCTACTGGGATTTTAGTATTATTGGGAATATCCGTTTTTAAGCTTTGGAATCACTGCATTCATGTGGACATTTTTTATTCAACAATACTTGAAGGAACTTGTCCAAATGAGATTTTGGTTGAGACCTTTGCCCACATGTAAAATGTCAGAAATGGCCTTAGTCCAGTTATCTCCAATCCCAACTTGAGCTGGTAGAGGTAGAGTCTAATTTTTGAATCTGGACAACCTAGATTTTTTAAAAAAATGTTTTTGACATAAGCATAATATGTTTCAGTTTCTTCCACCTGTAGCTTATCCCCCTTTACCATAATACTGTGAATGCAATCTTTTCTCTCCTTTCTTCTTCTCTGACTGATGTTCCTTCCCATGCTGCTTCTCTACCTATTTTGTTTTTTTTCTTAACTGACCATATGTTTCTTACACTGATCAGAGTACTATCTTTCCTGTTTAAAATAGATTCTGGTCACCAATTCCTGTGTATGTGTGTTTAGAGGGTCCCCACATCACCAGGCAATTCTCTGACACCAGCCAGGTGCCCTACAACTCCACTCAGCTCTGACACTGTCCACCCAGAGATAGATCCCACAGGTTACTGGTTCAGTTTTACAAGACTGTTCCCCAACCCCCACTTCAGATGCCAATCACAAGTCTGGGTTATCACCTGTGCTTCTAAACAACTGACTATAAATTGGAAGTTCCAATGATTTCTCCCAACCCTTCTCCTTGAGTTTGACGAACTTTCAAGAATGGTTAACAGAACTCTGAAAAGTATTTTACTTACTAGTTTACCCATTTAGTATAAAAGGATAAAATTCAGGAACAGCCAGATGGAAGAGATATAGATGGCAGGGGTGGGGGAAAGGGTGTGGATCTTCCATGCTGTCTGGGTCTATCACTCTTTGAAACTTCCACATGTGGACCCAGAAGCTCTTGGAACCCTTCTTTTAGGTTTTCATAGTCTTCATTACATAAACATATTGGTTAGATCACTGGCCATTAGCAATTATTTGACCTCCCGACCCTTTTCCCCTCCCTGGAGGTCAGGAGTCTGGAACCTGAAAATCCAATCCTTTAATAATGTGGTTGGTTTCTCTGGCAACAACTCCCTTCCTTAGGTGCTTTCCAAAAGATACCTTACTAACATAACTAAAATAACAAAGGACACCTTAATAGCTCTCAACAATTAGGAAATTCCAATTGTTTAAGGAGCTCTGTGCCAGAAACAGGGACAAGACCAAATACATATATCTTTTATTATAAATCACAGTATCACACTGCTCATAGTTTTTAAATGGAATAAATGGACTGTTTATTATTATTTTTCTTAAATTTATATACACATGTGTATGCACATTTATTTTATCATATATATTGAATACATATTCTCTTTCATTTTTATAAAGCAGGGAAGTCCTATTAGAGAAGTTCAGACACCAAGAGAAGGCAAGAAATCTTGAGCTGGTTAGAAGTTGAAGGAGGGAGCAGGAGGAAGGGGTGAGTCTGTTGTTGTTGTTTCAATAAGACAAGGGGTGACTAGAGCCTGACTTTATGTTAAGGAGCCAGGGCAGATGGTGGAAGATACAGGTGAGAGATGATCTCAGTGGTGTCCGTTTCCTGTGTGAACTGAGGCATTTCTCTGAGATAGGGGCCCTATCTTATCTTCCAGCACTGTTGTGAGGATCAAATGGCATATTTTACGAGCACTTGCATTTATGAATGATAAAGTGTGACAGCATCACTAACTGTGGGTCTCACTTGGGTTGGGTAAGACCCTCTTGATGGATCAAACTAAGAATCCAACTATATAAATTATTGCACCCTGGGCGACTTGCCTACATACAGTTCCCAAATTGCAATTCTGTTATTCCCAAATAAACTTATTTTTGCCATTAAAATTTAAAAATTAATTAACACACACTGGATCAAAACACATACTTTGCAGAGTCAAGAGTTTTGCCTGGTCTCCCAAAGCACAGTTCTCACAACCTGACTGAGCGCTAAACTGAGCACAAAATAAAGGTACTGGTAGGAACATCTGACAGTCCTTACCCCAATCTTTTATGCTTAAAAGGGTGTCCTGACTCAGGGACTCAACCTACCCAGATTTGGGGACAAGAATTTACCTCTTGCAAGGATGGAAACATTATGACCATTTTATCTTGCTTTCATTAACATCTCAAGTAACTGCCCACACCCAAAGAAACCACTGTATACAATGTGGCTTCCCCTGAAATCCTGCAGCCAAAGAAAGCAGATGTGAACCATGCCAATTTGAGAGTTTCTGATCCACATCACAATAATCACCTGCTATGACCTGCTATCACTGCTCACTGTTGTATGTGCCAGAAATAGAGAACAGAGCCACCATGTAACACAACTCCAGAGGCACCATTTATAACACAGTCTAGGTAAAAATGGTGCCCTTTGGAACACAACTGTAATGGCAGGAGCTGCTAACAATCAATGTTCATTTTTTTTCCTTGGCCCACAGCTTGGATACATTTCCAAGCCTTCTGTGAAATTAGGCATGAATTCTAAGTAATGTACTGAGGGTGCAAGTGATGTGCCCGCTTTCAGATTTCACTCATACAAACTCCCCTGCACATGCTCCTTCATCTTTTTTCCCTTTCTTCCTGGCTGAAGGATGACAAGTTTCACAAAGACTTTGAAAACTGTGTCTGAAATGAGAAGGATCATTGTTGTCTTGAAACTCTGAATGACTCCACAGACCAGTGTTTCCACTGACTTCTTTGCCTGTCCCTCACTTGTTAAATGAGCAAAAGAAAAGTATCTTTTATTGTGTTTGAGACTTTACACCTTGGTTTGGTGTAGTCTCTACAGATGAAACAGCATCTTGAGCCATCAAGCTGAGACAGAAACAATGAGAAGGAGCCAACTGTGCCAAGATTTCTGGGCAGGAGGGGGAGTGGGGAAGCATATCAGGCAGAAGCAGCTGCAGTGAGGATGATCTTGGTGTGCAGTCTCTCCCTGAAATCCACAGGTGTCATTCTAGTTTTATCTACCAATCTCAGAAAGTTCTACTAAAGTGAATCAGCACCTAGGAAAGGTCATTTAGTATATACTGACAAAATTAGGATCCTGAGGCCAGATTCTAGACTACAGTGTGTTACTCACTTAGATAAATTTAACTTTATAAGGCCATTTACTGGACTGCCAACATCTCACTGTGTCCTATATCTAATCTTTAATTGCAATGTTATTGCACTAAAACTGCTAGGGTCAGGAACATAGACATGTTCCATGCTGCATGGATGCCTGTGAACTCCTCCAGGTCTTGTCTTTTCCTTTTTAAAGGTTTTTAAGGGGCATATGGGTGGCTCAGTGGTTGAGCACCTGCCTTCAGCTCAGGGCGTGACCTCCTGGAATCAAGTCCCCCGTTGGGCTCCCTGCAGGGACCCTTCTTCTCCCTCTGCCTGTGTCTCTGCCTCTCTCTCTCCCTCTGTGTCTCTTATGAATAAATAAATAAAATCTTAAAAAGAAAAGATCTAAAAAAATTTTTTTTAATTTATTCATTTGAGAAAGAGTGAGAGAGAGATAGCAAGTGAGTGAGAGCGAGCAAGAGCACCAGTGGGATGGAGGGGAAGAGGGAGACGGAGAGGGAGAATCAGACTCCCTGCCGAGCAGGGAGCCCAATGACAGGGAGCTCAATCTCAGGACCCCAGGATCAGGACCTGAGCCGAAGGCAGATGCTTGACTGACTGAACCACTTAGGTGCCCTCCTCTGGGTCTCCTGAGCACTCCCCAAATGGCACTTGCGGAGTCCCATCTCTTTTTGTTTTCCTCATCCAAATTTTGCTGAGTCACTAGCTCTTATCCAGGCCACTGCAAAACCATGATTGGTCTTATATTTTACATGGTCCAACGATCTCAGAGCCAAGGCTATTAATCCAAAATACAAAGCAACAGGAGAGGAGCAATGCACAGACACAAATTCTTCCATGTGGCCATGATCAGCCTGGTCTACTGCACCAGAGAGTCCATGGCATTCATACAGGCCCAGGCAAAGCCAAGATTTTTGCATATAATCTCCCTGGAGATCTCAGCAGGCTTTCATTTGAAGGAATTCAGAGAGAATTTTCCCAGTTTTCTATTCTATCTCCCTAGCCCCTGCCTCTTTGCAAAGATAAATCTGATGGAAAGCACACCCAGACCACAAGGCTGAACTCCCAGGAATGACAGCACAGAGCCAACCACACTTAAGACCTCAGGCAAGTTGTTCAAGCCAATGCTCTCTAGAGGCCAGGGTAGTGGGCGGACGGCCAAGTCCAGAGGGTGGCCTCAGCCACAGTTAGGAGCTTCCTATCACACTTTCTCCTCTTTTAAGTTTTTACTGTGAAATACTGGCAGGCACGTACAGACCACT